TAAAACCAATGCCTTGGGGAAAAGCTTCATAGTTCTCTCAAGCTTCTCTTCAATGGATTGGTCACCTTTAAGCTCCGAATCTTTTGGTGTAAAGATTCTTATCTTGTGAAAGAGATTAGGTGCACCATTAGTCTCCTCTTCAGCTCCATATTCATCAAAGGTTGGAAGTGAGATGGAGTTGATGTCCTTAAAGACATTTTCATGCCTCGGCTCCAATGTTTTCTTCTTCTCCTTTGGTTTTGGGTAGCGCTCACTCTCTCTTCTTTCTCCATGCATCACGGCTTCTTTCTTGGTTGAGAGTGGCTTCTTCTGGTGGTAGCTTGGTCGCACTTGGCACTGACCTGAAATTTACACTTGGGAAAAAGATATCTTGCCGGATGTGGCCAAAAGATAGATGATTCCCAAAGTAGTTTAGGACCGCTCCAGCTGTAGCAAGGAATGGGGTTCCACGAATCAGTTGATTCCTCTTTGAGCCTTCCCAAATCATGATTTGAAAGTCAGTTGGGACCGATCGACCCCCTATTTCCATCATGACATCTTCAAGCATTCCATAGGTTCCATGCACGATAGATCCGCGAACTCGACTCTTATCTTGGGGCTCTTGAATTCCTTGAATCCCAAGTCTTTTGCAAGTGCAAGAGACATTAGATTAACATTAGCACCAGTATCACATAGGCAATCGTGGAGTTGAATGCCATTGATACTTGAAGTTATCACAAACTTCCCCGGATCTTCTTGTTTTTGTAGTGGCTTGCCTTCAAGTCTTCTCTTGTAAGCTCTTCTTGATTCCCAACTGTATCTCTCCGGTTTGTGCCTCTCCTTAGGCTCATTTTCTTCTTCTTCCCCTTGAGATAGTGTAGGAGACAATAGTGCCATCTATAGATGAGACAACACTACAAATTTTTGAGTGTTTACCTCATTTTGTTTCTTGGCCGCCTCGGCTGTTTGAGCGATTTGCACCTCAAGCTTTTGAACGTGAGTAGAGAGAGACCCAAACTTGCTGCTTAGATCACCAAACATGTGATCAAGCTTCTCATATAGGTTCTTGGTGATCAATCTCTGCTCCTCCATGTATTTCTTCAACGCCACGTCAACTTTCTCTCCGGTTTGGGTTGGATTTGTTTCTTGAGAAAAAGTGAATGGTTGCTTCACTTGGTACATCCCTCTTGGATAGACTTGTTGTGGCTTGGATTGGTATTGGCCTCCTTGATACGCTCCTTGATTGGGGTAGACTTGGTCATTTGGATTCTCCACATTGTTGCTCCGGTATGATAGGTTTGGATGCGCGCGGAATGGTGGATTGAATCCTCTATTCCCATAGTTTCCTCCAATGTAGTTGACTTCCTCTAGATTCTCTTCAGCGCCATCTCTCATGAAATCCATAAGAGTGTCTTCATTTGTGGCTAGGGCATCTTCAATGGCGTGAACTCCTTGTCGGCTTTTGAGTAGTTGTGAAACCATGTTCCTTAGCTCCGAGATTTGAGCTGATTCTGATGAGCTCGTGGTCTTCACGCTTCTATTGTAGTCAGGGCATGCATTGGCATCACTAGCAGCGAGATTCTCAATCAAAAGCTTAGCCTCCGGCACCGACTTGGTCATGAAATTACCATTGCTCGCGGTATCGAGAGAAAGCTTGTATTTATGATCAATCCCATTGTAAAAGATGTTCCAAAGGTTACCTTCTGAAAAGCCATGATTGGGGCAGCTCCTTGTATATTCTTTGAATCTCTCCAAAGCTTCATAGAATGATTCCATTGAATCTTGCTTGAAACCAGAAATCTTGCTCCTTATAGAGTTGGATCTTTGCTTAGTGTAGAATTGGTTTAAGAAAGCTCCCTTGTATTCATTCCATGTTGTAATGGATTGAGATGGTAAAGACTTTACCCATTGATGTACTTGCATTTTACATAGTTTTAGCACATCTTTTATGCATCTTTTGCATAGTTTTAGCTTCCATTTGCATCATATCTTGTTCCTTTTCTCTTCTTATGCATTCATGTTAGTTTTAGGTTGCATTTGCATACATATGCATGTTTGGTCCTTTGAAATAGGTCTTTTGGAGCATTCTGGAGCATATGGGACATAAGGAGCATGGAGGGACTTGGCACATGGAAGCAGCTCAACTGGATACGCAAAGGAAGAAGGGAGAAGCCATCTTGAAGACCAGCTCGACCGTCCACTCGACCAACCGGTCGAGTTCCTCAACTCGACCGGCCAAGCTTCAACTCGATCGAGCTGGGGAGTCAAAGTCAAACCCGAAAAATGTTGCTTCCCCCTTGACTTTCCTTTGACCCTAAACCTAATCCCTTTGTATTTAAAGGCTCTAAGCCACGAAAAAACCACCAAGCTTTAGATTATTTTGTTTTAGTTTCTTTTAATTTATTGTCTTTTACTTTTTAGAGATCTAATCCCATCTTTGTGTTCTTGAAGCTCTTGCTTCTTGAATCTTAGATCCTGGATAATCTCTTTGTATTTGCACTTGCTTATTTCAATAAAAGTTGTTTAATTTCATCTCCTCTTTCTTATGATGTCTCTTTTATTGCATTTGCTTGTGTTTACATTCATGTGTAGTGAGTAGTTACCCATTGGGGTTTGAGATGGGATAGATTAGAGGTTTCATATGCTTAATCCTTCTAGCTTATGGTCTTAATCTAGATTCTCTCTCTTTTGGATAGATCTTAAGGCTACATGACCACTACCCCTGGCTTGTAAGTCCTTAGGCGACTCCCCACACGAAAGTGATGGCATTCGCTGGAAAAGATCCACTAAGAGCTCCAATATCTCTTGCTCTAGACAATAGAGGTCTAAGGGGTTGGATGGATTAGTTTGGGCAATGATCCTATAGCCTCCAAGGTTTGATTCTCACTGGCTAACCCCCTGTTTCTGAGATCATTCCTTGGTTGATAGCCTCCACCTTGGGAAAGGGTTGGCTAGGCATTGAGAAGCCCAATATCAAGAGAAGCCTTGATACAAGGAGTTTTAAGAGCTAGATTGATTAAGTGTAGATTCCTTTGATTGCAAAACCCTGTCTTGAACCCTAATTCTCTCTTTATCTTGTTAAAGTCGTCACCTTTAGCTTTGTTTGTCTCAACTCGTCCCTAAACTCGATCGAGCTGGTACTTTGCTCTGCTCGACTCGAGCTCTTGGTCGAGCTGACACTTCACTGCTTTGTTTACTTTTATTGCACTGCTTTTCATTATTTTTAGGTTGTTAGTGTTACTTCAAATCTATAACTGCTTGCTTGACTTTCTGGTTGTTTCATATTCTCAAAGAGTGACAAGTTTCCCATTTTGGATTGATAACCTCTTATACTTCAATGACTATGATGGTTAAGAGGAATTGATTGATTGTGATTGCACCATACCATATCATCTTTATTCACCCCTGTTTGCATTCCACCTCATTTCATCTCATATTCATATCACATCCACACAAAATCCTATCATCACCCATCTAAGCGCCTTGTCACTTAGAGAAAAAGTGAATAGCTTGCACTTGAAGTAATCCGGCGATACTCCATTAACACGAGTTGTGCTACATATCTCCTCAAAGGTGTCGACGTGATCAAGAGGATGCTCAGTGGGCAAACCATGGAATTGGTTTTGCTTCACCAAGGCAATGATCTGTGGTTTGATCTCAAAATCGTTCCTTGGAGGTAGAGGCGGTCGGATTGGATTCCGATCCATAAAGAAAGCATCGGACGAATCAAAGTCTCCCATAGTTTGGTGCCTTGGATGCTGCGCGTTTGGCACTCTCCTTGGAGGTGCGTGAGGTTGGTCTTGAGGCATCCCTTGGTTGTCACCGTGACGATGATGTCCATTTGCAAACGCCGGTGGTGGTCGCGGCGGGTTAAGAGGTGGCTGTAGCGGCTCAGCTGCATCGGGCGCGTTCGGATTGGGCGGAGGAACGTCTCTGGCCGGTGCTGGCTGGTCAGCTCTAGCTTCTGCTGGATTAGGAGGATCATTGGCTCTCCTCTCTTGGTCGGGCGGGTTGTGTGGCCTATTTGGCGCGCCTTCTCCGCCTGGATTCATTCTTTCTCTTCTTAGTCGCCTAAGTGTGCGCTCAAGTTGGTCAATGTCAAGATCTTCTTCAATGGTTGTATTTGGATTGGACCTTCTTGTCATGCACCTTAGAAACACACAAAGAGAGAGTTAAGTAAAATTTTTATGAGTTTTTAAGATTTTATGAAAAACAAAAACAAAGAAAAGTGAAAGATGAGATGAGCTAGTCTTGAAATCAATCAAGAGGTGTGAAGGAAAAGCAACTCCTCCCCGGCAACGGCGCCAGAAAGCTTGATGGCGGGTTTAGATTGCCTCAAATTTTCACAATTTATAAACCCAACTAATGAGCTGCAAGTGCACAGCCGTGTTGTAGTCGGGGTCGAACACGAGGAGGAAGTGTTCTCACTTAACACCTTGTGAGATTGGTTTGTAGCTAGCTCGCAATATGGATGGTTTTGGACCTAGAATGAGAAAACAAACAAAAGAAATGTGAGTGAGTTGTAAACAATTTAAAACAAGAGTTAGGCAAAGGACAATCATATGGAGCAATGATGAAAAGATAGTTGCATGGGATGTGTGTAGAGCCGTCTTGAACATGAATCACTAGTGTATGGTCTTTCCACTGTCGTGGCTCCAACCACTATGTTTAAAACAACCTAATATACTCAGCTTTCGTTGGCTATTAGAATTGCAAACATGCATTAAAGGTGATCAAGATTCAATTGTTCACAATAAACCATAACTCAGCTTTCGTTGGCTATGATCTATTGCTCACCAAATACTAGTTTTGAGATCTAGATTCAGCACTGTCGTGGTTCTATTTCTCTAAGATCAGATTACTAGATGTACGGTAGAGTAATCATGCATTAAGCTCAAGTAAAGGTGAAGATCCATAAGATAAATCCCAATAAGTTGCAACACAATCAAATCATCACGGCCACCATAGATCTCCTCGGCCTAACTAAGAGATCTACTCGGCCATGATGCAAACAAGCAAGCAAAGCATGATTGTAAACATTATGCAAGTATTAAAAGAGATAAAGGGATGAAGAAAGCTTCTCTATTGATGAACAAAGTCGGATTCTCCCTTGAAAACTCTTAAAATCAAGTTTATAGAAATGGAAACAATGAAAGAAAGAACAAGAGTTGAGCGGCGCCTCCTTCTTCTTGGACGATCTCCTAGGGCTTCTCTCCTCTGAACTCTCTTCTCACACGTACACTCTTTGATAATTTTCTGACTCTCTTCTCTTCAGCGGCTAAAAACATGTATATATGGGCGAAGTCGCGTAGGGTTTTCTTCATGCCGGAAAAGGAAAGTTTCCCGTGAGCAAAGCCTTCTTCTCCACGTCGTGTATGGGCCGACATTGTACCAAGGAAAGCTCCAAACATTAGCCAGGCCTCTTCTCTATTCGATCAAGGCCTTTGGCGCTGCTGCTCGGGCCATTAGACACTCCAAATCCTCCATGGGCTTCGTTTACTCGCTTACCGGACATGTCTCGGTAGAAAATAAGTCTAGGCCTCATAGTTGATCCAAATGGCTTCATTCCACTTCGACGTGATGCATGACTCAAGTATCTATCTTTCCATATCAAGATCGTAACTTTTGGACGTCGGGAACTCCTCCGCGCGCGGCCAAACTTCCGAAGCTTCGTTCTGCGCGCAAGCGAGAACTAACACTTGGAGATAAAATGATCTTCTTGACTTGGAAACTTGCATGGATCTTGATTTAGGGCTCTTTTACTCCTTTTTGCATCCTTTTTGATATTTCACCTACATAGACTTCAAATCCCACAAATACAAGAAAACTACCTCTAAAGGCAAAGAATCTTGCAAAAACCGTTTGAAAACATAGTAATTATATAGTAAAATCATGTAAAATATGGTGATATCAGAGCCACCAATCCTACCTATCTAAGAACACAAAGGAGTCGAGCTATAAAGACTTAAAACAAGCGCTTGTGGGAGGCAACCCACATTTTCCTTATCCCTTCCTTTTTTTTATATTTTTAACTATTTATTTGTTCAATTTATAACTCTTAAACTTTTGAGAGTTTAATAAATTTTACAAAAATAAAATAAAAAGTGTTTTAGGAAAAAGTACCAAAAAGGAGGTCTACATGAAAAATGCATTGGATAGGCAGCATAGCCACGACCTGACCTTAAGGATTAACCATCTTTGGTCAAAGCATTGAGCATTGAGTCTAGTTTGAGTCCCGCCCAAGTCCCACCCATGTTTGGAGTCCAAAGGCGCTACACGAGGCACTTGGAATCTCTCCCACTCAAATCTCATTTCTCAAAAACATTATCTCTATCTTATTTCACTCATGAACACTACTTGGATGTCTGATCAAGCTCCCAAGTACATGTAGTGTCACGATCAAGTCATTGATTGGGAAGTTCAAATCACTTGAGCATCTCACTCATTGACAGAGTTTAACAAAGAGTTACTAGTGTTTTTCAGATATAAAACATGACAGGAAAAACCGGTTCAAAATATCAAACAAACATGGCGCGAACGGAAGCCACAACCGGCCAAAGGAGGATTCACATGCCAAACATGAGAAATGAGGGAAATCCAACCACATTCAATCCAGGAGGGATAGAAAAACAGTTCGGTCGAAGCAGAACTCAATTAGCCCGAGTAAAAAAGGAGATATCACATTCCCAATCACTCTCTCGGCCAGAATCGACGAACCAAGCAACAACACTCGACCATCTCCCAAACGGCACGACCAAAGTCCACAAAACTTCACAGGCGAACTCAAAACATCAGTTTGGTCAGCAAATCCAAAAGATACGACAAGGAAAAGTGCTTTCACCGTGAGATAGACGAGGAAGCTCAATTTGGCCGACGGTAATGCATACAATGGCCGACGAACTCAAAACCTCAAGAAGGCGCGAACACCGGTGGAAACTGATCCTCTGGAGTCCAAAAAACACCAAGGAAGAAGAAAAGAAGGAGACGATCGAACAGATACAAGATGGCCAAAGGAATCACATCCCGAGCCATTGGCGCGCACGACGAAAGATCTCCGAATCCACACGTTCAAATCGCCTCAAACTTCACAAGGAGCCACAAAATATAAGGTTGGTCGATGAAATTTCATTTCAGTACGATGAATTCCTTTTAGTTCAAGAGATGGCCGAGGACGAAATTTGGCCGATCGCGCGCAAGTAAAATGGCCGACAACACAAATCACGGCATTTACCGCGGCCACCGGCTCAAATCACCTCCATCAAGCATCCACATCGCACCCACAGAAGCAAATCCGGAATGGAACGAGCAAAATTGGAGTGAGCCAAAGGAAGACGTTCCCGGAGCCACTTTGAAAATGTTTCAAAGGAGATCTTAAACCACTCGTTGAAACGACCCCAAACTTCACCAGTCGCCATATTATACAATATTGGTCGACGAAATTTCAAGATAGGTCGAGGAAATCTTCACGGTTCGAGCTGTAGTCCATACCATCACCATCCGGTCGACCAAAACGGACCAGTCTCGGCCAAAAAGGCGAAAAACAGAAAACCAAGGGAGAATTGTCACATTCATCCAACCAAATCCAACAGCTGTGATGTTTGCACCAGTCAGTTCATTCCTGGAAGCAACTATGCACAACCGATCTTCACATCAAAGGCCAAAAATTTGGGTACAATTTTCTACAAACTCTAACTTTTCCATTCATATTTATCATTACCTCTCTTAATTGGATTTTTCTTACACCGAGACGGTGCAAGTTAAGTCTGGGGGGATTACTAACAAGTTTGTTCTTTTTGAATTTCATTGAGTCGTTTTATTGAGTCAAAATTTTGTCAAAGGATTATGACCTTATCTTGGATCTAACCATTGTTGTGCTAACGTTTAAGTGACCATTGAAGCAGTCTTGGCAATACATCTTACCACAGGGACACTATGAGTTGATCGATCTACCAAAAACGCCCACACCTCCAAGGACTTGAGAAGGATCCACTCTTGACTCCGCCCTTAATGAACTTAATCTTCTCAGCTAGGGGCTTGGCATACAAATGGCATGATTCCTCATCCTCTCCATCAAATGAAAAAGTCTTAGTGAGTTCGTGCTTCCCTCTCTCTCCCCTTCAAATTTAAAGAAAAAGCGTAAGGTCCAAGTAACCGGGGATTCGGTGGCAAACACCATCAATACTCGCGTCTATGGAAGGCCTATGAATCCAAGCAACCGGGGATTCGGTGGCAAACACCATCAATACTCGCGTCTGTGGAAGTCCAAGCAAAACCTCTATAATGAAGAGAAGGAGTTGAATAAAAAAATACTTCGCTACCCTAAAAAAGGGATGAATCAACTCAAAGAAGTGAGAAGAGAGAGAGGAGAAACATGGAGTAAAAAGACAAGTGCCAAAACAAGGGGATGAGTAAGAGTCTAAAGCCGGCTGATCGATACTCCCTAGTTGAGACCACACCTTTAGAAATGAAAGGAGTCAAGGAGGGTGAATTGGATTGTCCAAAGAGAGGTGGGCCGCCTTGGAAAAATCGCAAAACTCATGGTATGTACTCTTGTTCTTAATTCAAGCCAACCCGGATTTCCTAATGATTTGAGAGTTCTTGCGTTTTCAAACCTCTCTTCCTCTCTTAGTTTGCTTGGGGACAAGCAAAAGGCTAAGTCTGGGGGAGTTGATATACCCATATCTTTCATGTTTTTATCAAGGTTTTCACTATGTTTTCAATACAAATAATGTGGTTTTTAAGCCCAAGAGGTAGTTTTCTTGTATATTCTGGTTTTGAGCATCATTCAGGTCAAAATAGCAAAGAAGAGTCCAAAATGGAGCAAAAGAGTCAAATCACCAAGTTCCCAAGTCTAGAGCACCAAAATACATTTCTCGCTAAAGACCAAACCGGAGCATCCGAAGTACGACCGCATGTTCATGCCTTCCCGACGTCCAAAAGTCATGATTCTTATATGGAAAGATAGATATTTGAGTCGTGACCCGCGGCGAAGTGGAAAGAGGTCATTTGGATCACTCGTTGGACCGGAACTTATTTTCTACCAAGACATGTCCGACGAGCGCCTAAGTAGAGCCCATGGAGACTTTGATGGATCAAGAGGCCCGGATACCGCGCCCAAGGCCTTGGCTCATCTTGACACTAGCATAACTCAATCCAGAAGCTTCCATTGGCCTGAACGGCCCATTCAAGAACTTGGAGAGCAAGCTCAAGCGGCTAAAGAGAAATGGAAACTTTCCTCTTCTGCGCGCGCTCAACTTTGCCGACCTAGACCCGCTCTCTACCTATATATACTTGCTTTTAGCCTCTTGTAATAAGAATCACCAGCCGCATAACAAGAAACACTTATTCAATAAAGTTCGGAGCCACTTAGGTGGTCTCCTTCTTCTTTCTTTTCTTCTTTTGCATTTGTATATAGCTTGCATGTTTCAATTATATAGTCTAGAAGTAGAGATTTCTCCCTAAGGGTGAGGCGTGGTTTAGTCCATATTCCGCCGCCTCTCTCTCTAAGGATTCATGAGACTTCATCTACTATCTAAGACTCATTGTTGAATTATGGATCCTTCCAATGAGGACGTGATATAATGGCCATCGAAAATCGATTGTTAAAAGGGGAAACCCTATGGTTCTCCATCTTTATTTATGCTTAATGCCTGTTGCTAGAGTAGCTAACTAGTGACTTGATTTTAGGTTGATATACTCTCCAAAAGCTTGTTATATCTCCGGATATAGTATTTGATGGGCAAATCGTTTTAGGCTACGAAAGTAGACCTAAAGAGTTTTGTGAACAATCATTACTTGGATGTAATGCATGTCTCACTCTACAATGACCAACGAAAGCTGAGCCCATTGGTTTAAGAGACATAGGGGATTGGAACCACGAAAGTGGAATAATCCTTCCTTAGTGTTTTGAGTTCAAAAGAATCGGATTTTAACAAACTTTTCAATCGACTTGGCTCATGTTTTCAAAAGAGTTTTCAATAGTTCAATAATGTTGCTTGTATAGAATTGCATTGTTATTTTCTTTTGCGTGTTCTCAACAAACACAACCCTTGCATATTTTGATTTAGCTTAGTCATTTAAACTCTATGATTATGTAATGTGTGAAATCCAATCCCTTGTGGTTCGACCCCTAAATACTACAATTATATGTTGTGCACTTGCAACACTAGTTGTCTTAGGGAATTATTACTTGTACTCATCCCATAGATGCCGCATCAACAAGGCACTAGCCAACACCTTCTTTGCTAGGAAGGCAACCGAGACCATCAACGAGGGGGAACTCAAGTTTCTTGACATGGGGATCAAGCCCTTTCTCTCACGAACAAGCGATGGCGAGAGGATCAGGGGAGATAGATCCAACACAGGGAACCTGATACCATAGTCTATTAGTCTCACAGGGAAATCAACGGAGGGGGAACTCAAGTTTCTTGACATGGGAATCAAGCCCCTTCTCTCACGCACAAGCGATGGCAAGAGGATAGATCTCATCTGACAACTTGATGCCTTTCCTTGACCATCTCCTCACCTACAAGATCACAGCCTACAACACTAGACATCAACGAGGGAGGCGCCTAAGTATTGGAGGGCTCATCACTCCTATCTTGTGTGCTGCTGGAGTAAACCCAACTGATAGGAGAGCCACTGAACCAGGTTGGATGGACATCAAGTTTTGCAAGACCAACCTCCTCATTGAGCACAAGGAGTTGGATGGGAGGTTCCAATTCAAGTTCACACATCCATTGGCTGGCCCTTCCAAGCTTCTCCTGCCCAACCCAGAGCTCACCACAGTAGTAAGGGGTGAGAACATTGATTTCAGACCCCCTGTGTACACATTAGTTGGGCATGAGGATGATTTGCGAGAAGAGGAGCCTGAGCTCGATCGAGCTGAGGATCGAGCTGAGGATCGAGCTGAGGATCAAGTCCAGGAAGTGCGGATTTGGGTGAGCCTGAGTGCTATTACTTTGAGGAGTATGAGGCTCCAAGGATGAACCCCTCTGTTGTGGCTGCCCACAAGAGGATTGGACTTCTCCAAAAGTTCAACAAATGGCAAGGGAAAGCCATTGAGAAGATGCAAAAGTCCATGGACAAGATGGTGAGCAAGATCAAGAGTTTGGAGAAGAAGGTTTCTGGTTCTTCAAGCAAGAAGAAGAAGGCAGTCCAAGCCCCACTTTCCCTAGGAGTAGATCACTCCTCACCACCCAAGGAGGCTCCCTGCCCAAGAGCCTCACAGAGCCTCTTCTTTCGAGCCAAGGGAAGGGAAGACAACACGCAGAGAAGGAGGAAGAGTTCCAAGGCCAGACGCTCCAGCTCGACCACCGGACTCGATCGAGTCCAAACAGAGGAAACTCAACTCGATCGAGCTGAGGGTCGAGTTGACCTGGAGGAGCCCCTTTGAGAACCCGGATTCGAGTACGATCCAACGCCCTACCAGGACTTCTCTCAGACTCTCTGGACTCCCTACAACCGCTTCGAGCAAGCGCAGCTCCACCAAGGCCAAGGGAGCCACACACACTTTCGATGAAGAAGAGGAGAAGAGGAGCCACAAGCTCGATCGAGTGAGCCGAACCCAGTTGATGGAGTGCTCCTGATGGCCGTCTCCCATCTCCAGACCACGACCTAGCCTCCCAGTTCTTTGGGGGCACTGAGGTATCCAAACACCAACCCTTGTATATACCATTTCATATTTTCTTGCTTTGTTCTTGTTTTTCTTGGTTTTGCCCTCTTGAATCTTTCACTAAATTTTTCTCACACAAGGGACTGTGTGATTTAAGTTTGGGGGAGGGTTCAAGAGATGATTTAACCTTGTTTTCTTTGTTCTTAGTTTTTCATTATCTTTTGCATAGAAAAACCAAAAAAATCATAAAATTTTCAAAAAATCCAAAAATATTTTCATCTTTTTGCATTCATATTTGTTAGACTTGTTTAGGATTGCATTTTCACTTGCATTGTTGATTTGACTTTGAAAACTTGTCCATCATTTGCGATTTCTTGAGTGCCCTGTTTTTAGATTCTCTTGTGCATTAGGGTGAGATTGATTGAGCAGCAAGAACCATGTTTATCTTGATCATATCGCTGCATGCACATCTCATTCAACCATTGCTGTGATTTGATGCATTTCCCTATCTATTTGAACCATAACTTGATCTTTAATTACCAATGCTTGCATTTGATTTCAACTCATGGCTACCACATACATATCTGGACATTCTTTACCATTTTCATATCCCTTTTGCTTGTCCAGATAGCTGATCTCTATCTTTGAGACAGTTACCACACCTTAAACCTAAGCCTTTTCATTTCAAACCCCATATTATCTCTTGTGCGAATGTGAGAACCTTTCTTGGCTTTGCTTAGCATAAGGTGTTGTGTTTAAACCGGCAGGGGCAGTAGTTCTAGTTGTCTAGTTCTCTTGGGATTGTTTTCAGGCTAAGTTTGGGGGTGCCAACTCGAGCTCGATCGAGTTGGGTGTAAAAACCAGAAAAGTGGTAAAAGTTGGGAAAAATCCAAAGGAAAAAGAGTTTAGTTAAGTCCAGGGAGTTGGCAGTGTTTAAAAAGGGTCTAGTAAAGGTTTGGGAAGTTAAAAAAGGAAGTAAAAAGGGTTCTAAGTAGAATGAAAAGAAGGCAAAGCCTCAAGTGTCAAAAAGAAAAGAAAAGTTCCCTAAGTGTTTAGAAAATCCCAAACCGCTAGATGTTACCTCAAGAAGCCTCTCCCTAGGTGTTCTTAAAAGAAAAGTGAGCAAAGCTCCTCAGTTTCAAAGGCGAAATGCCAAAAAGGGTAGTTAGGATTTTGTTCTAAAAAGCTCTAAGTGTTGAACTCGATCGAGTTAGGATTAGGCGGCTCGAGCTGCTGTTCTTGCATCATCTTTGGTTCTAACACTTAGCCTTCTGCCAAAGCAAAGCCACTTTCTTGAGAGATCCCTGTTACTAAACCACCATACAAAAGAAACAACTCAACCAAGCCAAGATTGGGATATGAAGGATATGCTCAAACAACTCCTACAAGGGCAAGCCAAAGGTTCACTGGAAATGAACCACAAGTTGGTAGAAATAAACTCCAAACTTGAGTCATTGACTTCAAGAGTGCAAATCATTGAGTCTTCTAGTGCATCATCCTCTTCACCACATGAGTATGCTCAAGCAGTTACACTGAGAAGTGGGCGGCAATTTCCAAGCAGGAGTAGCCCACCCCAAATCGCTGTGGACATCGATGACGAGGAAGGGGAGGATTTGGTCGAGTATGCTGATATTCCGGCACCGAACTCGATCGAGCTGGAACAAAACCCTGAACCAGAGCTCGATCGAGCTGAAGAAACCGAGACTCAGAAAGACAAACCAGAGCTCGATCGAGCCGAGAAGAGAACAGACAAAGCAAGCTCCAGCCAACCAACTAAACCTGTTGCAAGGAAGAAAGACACTCCATCAGGACCACCACCATACAAACCCCTCTACCCTTTCCAGGAAGGTTCAAGAAACAACTGTTGGAAGCACACAAGGCCAAGTTTGATGAACTAATGAGACAACTTGAGCTGAAGTTGCCTTTCATCGACGCCTTGATGCTCATTCCACCTTATCAGAAATTCCTGAAGGATGCTGTTCAGCAAAGAACCAGGGAAGCACAAGGGATGGTAGTGTTGACTCGTGAGTGCAGTGCAATCATTCAGCGGAAGGTCATCTCCGACAAAAAGGAAGATCCGGGAGTTTCACTTTGCCCTGCATGTTGGGACCCCTATCTTTCAAAAACAGCCTCTGCGATCTAGGATCATCTGTCAGCCTCATGCCTTTGTCTGTAGCAAAGAGACTGGGATATCACAAGTATCAAGCCTGCGGAATCTCACTAGTCTTGGCAGATAGATCGATAAGGTTACCAACTGGAATGCTTGAAGACCTGCCTTTGAGAATAGGGAATGTAGAAATCCCCACCGACTTCATTGTGCTGGAGATGGATGAGGAACCAACAGATCCATTGATACTAGGAAGGCCATTCCTAGCTACAGCAAGAGCAATGATAGATGTCTGTGAAGGCACAATTGAGCTAAACTTGGGAAAGGACCTAAGATGAAGTTTGACATCAAGGATACAATGAGGAAGCCAACAATAGAAGGTCAGCTCTTTTATGTTGAGGAGATGGATCAGTTGGCAGATGAGCTTTTAGAAGAGCTATCATTGGAGGATCCCTACAAGTTGCTTTGACCAAGGATTCTTCAGAAGGATATGTGAGCTCAGAAACCGAGGAATACAAGAAGCTCCTTGACACCTTCAGACCAGTTCCAAGCATTCTGAGCATTCAGGGGTTGGACAGGCCAGTTTGCGAAGTCATGGCAGTGAGCTCGATCGAGTCGGGCCTCGAACAAACGAACTCGATCGAGCTGGGGACTGAATGCAAAGAGCAAGCTCAAGGAGATTGGTCTGAGCTCAAGGCGCCTAAAGTCGACCTCAAACCTTTGCCTGAGGGCCTCAGGTATGCATTTCTGGGTGAAAACTCAACCTACCCTGTCATTGTGAACTCTGATTTGGAACCTGAACAGTTGAGTGCTTTGCCTT